TTTAAAAAGAACATGGCATCACCAAAAGAAACATTGGTAAGACTTGCTTTTTCAGACCTTTTGAGACTGAGTAAAATACAAGAAGTTCTTTTTGTCCCTTCTCTGAAAAAGCAAACATTTGGGAGGTTGAACACTAATTTTTAAAAAGGTTATTTTGTGAGTGTTCTTCCCGTGACTGACATTAATTTATTTTTAAAAAAGCAGAAAAAGTCAAATGTCATGAATAAAGTCAAGTGAATTCCAGTAGAAAGCATCTTGCAGTTTGGTTTTGTACACGTTGCTTTCACAAGAATATGAAGACTTCAGACAGAAGAAACTGAAAAGTTGTTTAGGAGGAATTTAGCTGCAGAGTTTATTGGCAATCATCTGTGTAGGAGTAGAATTTGATGCAATGCTTGCAGATTATCTGCACACTGGGTAGCATGCAAAAAGGAGTAGTCTGAACTCTGAACCATTAGGAGAGATATTGAAAAAGCACCAGTCAAGAAGGATGACTCAAAGACCAGCATCCACAGCTCTGACGAGGTGCTTATCAAATACATGGTTAACAGATGCAATGTTGATGCCAGAGGTCAAAGGAGAATCGCCAGACTGCTTTTAAACCTACAAAGAGAATAGCAACTCAACTACTATTACCATTGCAACCAAATTATGTAGAAGAGCATCTCTGAGCATGTTAAACATTAAAGCAGAGGGTCTACAGCAGCAAGAATGAGGAACTTCGACTACATGTTGCCAGAATTAGACAACTAGTCTTTTTCTGCTGCACTATTCAGATGGTAGGGTCAGAAGTGGCCATTCACAACATGAAAGCATGGATCTATCCCACCTTGAATCAATGGTTGACATTGTTGGTGGTGTAATGATGCTGTGGATATTTTCTTGGCATTTCGGGTTACTTGGTACCAACTGTGCATGATTACAGATTACTTGAGGATTGTTACTAACTGTCTTCATTTCTTTATGACCACAATGAGCCCATATTCACCGTTCACTGTACTCAAATGGCCTCCACAGTCACCAGATCGCAACCTGGTCAAGCATCTGTGGGATGTGGCGGAGATTTACATCGTGGATGGTGTTGCCAAATTGTTGAATCTATACCATACCATTAAAGCACTTCTCAATGCAAAAGGTGGACCTTTAATTGTTCTGCATGTACAAAATGTGTGGGAAAGATTAATTAAGTCTCCAAATTGGCCAGTGTGATTGGAATCGTTTCGTGAAAAGCTTTCAAGTCAAATTTGTTTTCTAAAAGAAAAAGCAGTTAAAAGAATCATCTTGGTGACAGTATGGATCACTTCAGAGAGATCTCATCTGCTCTCTGTGTTTTTCTCCTTATAGCATTTATCATCACTGTTCTCACTGCTTTTATCTGAAGGTTAGAGGAGGTAAGATAAGGACTATTGAAATTGCGAGCATGTTTTTGAGCCCATTCCACATTTGTTCAACATTTATCAGCTCTCGGGACGTCCTCCTGCTTTATTCTACAACACTCTTTCTGTTATCAGATCTCTCTACATCGATTGAGGGCAGTTCAAATATCATCAAAGTAAAGGCAGATTTTTTTGACTGTTTCATATCACAATCCATTTAGACTCTTGGTGGTTTTGTCTTATTAAAAATCCCTGACTGTTTTTCAGCAGCACTGCAGTCTGTTTCAAACCACAGACAGTTAAGTCTGAACATGGAAATTCCCTTAAAAAAGGCTATTCTTTACAAACTGAAAGCCAGGCGCTGTTAGCAGATGTTTTCTTTTGGTGCTTTTTGATGTCATCTGGGGCAGCTCGGCCTGCTTTCTCAGAGCTGTTACCTAAAGAGGGATGACGATCTGGTATCTTACTGACTCATACCAGCAAGACCTCAGACTGGACCCCTTTTAAGCTGCTGCCACCCAGAGACTGAAATCCCTTTCTCTCTGTTACTGTTTTCTTTGCATAGAAACGGCGGTCTATTGCTCCTTGTCTTTGTGTCTCTAACATCACGAAGAATTCTCCCTTCACTCTGTTTACTTCAAAATACACAGACTACTATGGAGAGCTCTGAAAAATCTTAGGTGCTCGTGGGTGGAGAGGGGGCGTAATAAGTAATCTTGGCAGCACAGAAAGTTGGTCAGTGTATTTTTCAGTCAGGATTTTGCCAGGAACAAACATTAATTAAAAAAAGAGCTTTTCTGACAAGTTTATAAATCGAATCTTCATCACTTTTGTTTCAGCTGTCATTTGGAAATTTCTAGTTCGTTTACAAAGAGGGGCTTATTTGCACAGCATCAGTATCCACATGACCACCAGACTTTAATAGGCCATATAACTGTTTTCTTTTATGACTGTTCTCGTTGAAAACAGTATGTTCAAAGAACAAACAGGGATTACCTTGGACTGGGAAATACATTTTAGAGTAAATGTAATTTCAGCCCATATTACTGTCACTGGCAATAGATTGTTCTAGTGGAGAAGGTTGGACACGTACCCTATATTTGGTTAGATCTCTTTTAGGGCTATGGTTATGGATTCCCCTCATGAAACTTTGATAACAGTAACTCATTTATATCTGTTGTTTGAGATGTTTTCGGTTTAGTAATAGGTTAGGGAAAGTTTTTGTGGTTTGTTGTAGATGTACTTATGGATAGCCTGTTTCTTTACTGGATTTTAGGCTTTATAGTTTGCATGTTCTCCCTGTGTCTCTATGGGTTCTCTCTGGTTACTCCAGCTTCCTTTCAAAGTCCAAAGACTTTCATGATTCTGGTGATTCTGAATTGGCCATAGGTGTGAATTTAATTATGAATCTGTCTCTCTGTAGCCTTGTGATGCACAGGTGACCTGTTCAGGGTGTACCTTGCCTCTTGCCCTTTTACAGCTGGACAACTGCAACTTCACATCCAAGACAGCTTTTTATTTTAATGGAATAAATCCTCATTAACAAATTATCTAGTATAACAGATCGCATAAAGAAGGAAAGATATGGGTAAAAAGACACTCAGCATCTCAGGAAAGCACTGGTCAGTCAGTATGATGTCAGTTATGTGAATAAAGCTTATCATAGTTTCTGCCTCACTAATAGCATCACTCACAGTCCATGATGGCTCTTATCTGTCTGAGCCGTCAGAAGCAAGGTCTGAACACATCCTTATCTGTCTTCCCCTCGACCACATTGGCTCCTGCAGACAGACCGGCGGGGGTTTGCGTGCGTTTGTTTAAAGCAGATTCCATTTTGCTCCCGTATGAAGTGCTCTTCAGTCCAGACACTGGGTCTGATGAGTCACCAGAGGTGTTATCACAAGCAGAAATGATTAACCTATTATCACAAAATTCCTTTGCAGTGTGTGCCACATTGTCTGCTATTTCTGCTATTCTGACTTTATTTTTATATCATAAGACGCCCAAAAATGTGGATTTTAGCAATCTCAGGATCTGATGAGTTTACTGTTTTTGACGGTGAGTTAGATATTGTAGTTTAATCACACTTTGATGGGTAGCAGTCAGCCTGTGAGCTGTGAAATAGTGCAATTTTGTCAAAGCAGCTGGCATGTCAGATGTCCTTTAGTGTCAGTGGTGAGATGCACCTGGTCATGCCAATGGAGAGATGAGACATATACTGGTTCTTGGAGTCAATGGAAACCCTTAAGTGCTGTTTTTCAAAGTGTAGGAATAATGTTTACCCCTTTTCATAAACCTAGTCAAGAAGGTCTGATGCCTAAAACTGACTAAATAGCGAGTGAAAACAGAAGCAAAGTTCAGAAAAAATCTCTAAGTTGAGAAATGTGCTAAATGTTGTTATTTTTTGGATTTAATTTCTAGTTGATGCCCTAGACAGTGAATGCACTGGCAGATCAGGGGTGGACTGAAAGTTAAAAAAAAAACCCCAAAAAAACCTTTGTATCAAGAAGGCAGCTCCAAATATGAGGACTTTTATGGTAAGCAACAATTATGATTCACTCATGAATACAAACCCTTACCCTAACCCCCAATCCTAACCCCCTAACCCTAAACTAACCTTATAGTGTATTCAATATGACCTGAAACTACTGACCCAAGTTCATAACTGTTTTCCCATACCCAGATTTCTATATAACCAGAAGTCTTTTGGAAACTATAGGAGTCACCAGGGGTTAAAGTAGGGTGAAAGAATCTGGAACAACATTCAGCTAATGAGTGATTCAATGTGATGAAGTGCCTCTGTGCCTTGAAAATATAGGATGGGTAGGTGTGATATCATTATATTTCATGCAAACGGCTGAGCTTTTCTTCAGAGGGGGTTTTAGCTCACCCTTGAGGAGACGGTAAAACATTTAAACGTATGAGAGGCTTAAAGTTGATGCTTTTAAGCGTCTGATCAGGTTTCCTTCTGGGCGCATCCAGGCATGTTCAAAGGGTAGAACCCAGGAAAGACCTACAAGAGGCTGGGGAGACAAAACTCCTAACATGGCCCATGATGACCTGCTGCAGGAAGAGCTGAAAGGGTGTGTCTATGGAGGACAAAGCAGTGATTTGGAAGTCAAAATAAAAGATGGATGTTAGAAACTAAATTTCATTCAAAATGACAAGAACATTTTTTTTTTCAGTGCCAATTTTTGTTTGGAAGGAGAACCAGACTTCTAATAATCCAGGTGCTGCTGTGGATTAGGGGATTCTGCTTTTGGTGGGCTGAACCTGACAAAGAGAACGCACTGAAGTGATGCCAACAAATAATGTAAGCTCTGCTCTAAGCTATCTGAATATTTGCTTTGACCCTGACAGAAGTTCTTGTCTTTGCTTAAAGAAAGCTTTGAATGCTGCAGATGTTACAGTGTCTTCCCCCAGCAAGTCAAGGCCAAACACAAAAAGTGCTCCCAAGTGCTGAGAAAGTGAGAGAAACCACACCAGTGAAGGGGAGCAGGAGAAAAGTTGGTGTGTGTCTCTGGTGGAGGGGGGGGGTTAACTGGAGTGTGTTAATTTGGATCTGGAGTTGAGATGTCTGAGGGGAGGGCTGGATTAGAAAGCGGTGGTCCATAGAGGAGACGCTGGGAGTCAGATTTCAGCTTTACGAGGGCCCCTTGAGTCCCGATTCACTGAAGCTGCCTTTGTTTGACTGAGAACCAGAGAGCGAGCGAGAGAGAATCAGGGGGCAAGAGAGAGGAGGAGGAAAGAGCAGTTTTTAGTCTGGAGTGAATGAGAGCGAGGCAGAGTGAGCTCCATCTCTCTCTCACTGTCTCTATCAGCACCACATAGAAACGGGGCAACTTTAGCATGGACATAAACTCACCAACACTAAAGATGACTCCACGGTAAATGAAACCCACTGTGTTTTCTGTAAAGAAGTTGAATTGATGAACTTTTAGCAAGTTTTCTTATTCCTAAATTGTGTTTTTTGTGCAGCATTCTTCCCTGGCTCTTTGGATTATTTCTCCTTGCCCTCCGGTTCTGCTGCCATTGCTCGTCTGCCTATCAGCTGCTGGACGGTATGTGGCTGTTGACTGTTTTTTTTGTTTTTTTTCTACTGTTGGCAAACTTTCTGCTGGTTCAGAGGTTTTTCAGCTGTTGAATATGAATGATGGAGCAGTTGCACTCTAGTCCTGAAAGGGACTTTTCTGTTACTTAAAAAAAAGTGTGTGTAAATATTATTCTGTTGATAATGTGGTTAGCTGAGTAGCTTAGGACATTTTAGATTTAATTAATGTTCAAGTAATAGAAATGTTGATGTTTCAGCTTTCAATGTTGTATATTTGACCACATTTAAAAAGACAGCGTAAGATTTCTTTTAAGTCTCTGGCTGTTGTTTCTCCCTTTCACTACAACTCTTCTAGGCTCTTTACTCACATGTTGGTGATAATTAAAGTGCAAAGACCCTGGAGATGTCTTGAGAGTTTAAGCCTGTTTTTTGAAGTGGTGTTCAAAATGTGGCCCCAGTTTGACATCCTAGGGGATGTTTTATATTGGTGTTATAAGACCAGGTTTACTTGAGCAGGAGATACATGAAGGAGCCTTAAATGTCTAATGAAGAAACATATACTGCCCTACACTGAGGAGAACTAGGCTACCATTGGTGTGACATAATTGTCACCACTCTCTAAAGTTTATTCTCTACTTGGGTATATTTTAGGCCAGTTCAACCCACCTGCAGACCTATTCATAAAAGCCCAATTGAAGTCAATGTGATCACAGACCAGCTGATCATCAGAAGATCTGGTCCCTAAGTTCAGTTGGGATGGTTCTTGAGTCACCTTACACAACACTGATTATAATGCAGATTTAGGGAGGATGAGGTGGAGGTGCGATGGATGGATGTGGACACAAACCAGCATTCCCAAACTCTTTGGCAAACCAGTGCTTTTAAATTTATAGCATTGATGCAAGCGAGGGAGACTCCTTTAGGCTTCTGTTCCATATTATTTCTTGAGTTATTTCTTGGCTGACTTGTTTCTCTGATCCCGTGTGCAGTGCTTTGCTGTTTCTGGAGACTGTTTTCACAGCTTAAACCTAGATTTTCTTTGTAGTGATTAATACATCACTCAGGACACTTTAACATGTTTCCAATTAGTGCTGGAAGACTTGCAGATTTTCTTTTCCATTGCAACTGGATACCAGTAAAACCTCACAATGTACGTATTGACAGAAAAGCTCTGCACTCAGTAGCACTGCATAATTAAGCGAGTGAAGATGATGCAATGCTGAGCATTGGAAGGTGCATGTCATAGATGACGGTCATTGCCAATTATCTCTGAGAGCCTCACTTTATTAGTTTTCATGCTACGCTTCAGACAGACAGGCCAATATACCATCACTGCTTTCGTCAGTGTGCTGGAATCCAGATTAGCATTTTGCAGTTATCTGTAAGGATAGCTTGACCTGTGTAAACCACAAAGACCCCCATGTCACAAGAGCAGCATTGTCCAGGCTTAGCTAAATGATTACAGGGTCTCGTTACCTAATGTGGCCCTTATGGAGCTTAGTGGTCTTGCTTATATTAGGAATTAAACACAACCTATGCTCCTGCTGGCTTAAAAAAAAGTGTGACCACTTTTAATAAGCATGTCCTCTTAAGAGATAAATGGAATATAATCGCGTGGGAATGAAAACAAGCTCTAAATGTGCTCTGCATCCAAGCTGAACTGGTGTTGATGTGTGTGAGGAGGTGGGTAGTGCTAAAACAAAATTTCAAAAATGTGATTTCATTGTCCAGTTTCCTTTACTGTAGATCCTGCAGATGTTGGGTGAGCCAGAGGCTCCATTCTCAGGCTGTTTGTGTTCTTGCCATATTTATAATCCTCTGCCATGATTCACTTTTTCAAGACAGGGGGAAAAAAGCAGAGTGTGCTTGCGCACGCTGGCTCACTTGCCCGAGAGAGCACCAGGGACACATATTTCCAAGCTGCATGTTGTAAATATCCTTAAACAGAGCTGTCGCTGTGGCAACATTCACGTTTCTGTGCATGATTTCAAAAAGGAGAAAATGATATAATCCTTTCTCTTAGTGTGAAATAGTGCAAACTGCTTTTCTTAGCTATGTCTGTTACTAATGTGTGAGAATGGTTTTCAGCTGGAAGCATCAGAACTAAAAGCTGGAAACACAAAGAGAAATTCCATGACTGGAACATTACAGCGTCTGTCAGTGAATGAATAAATAAGTTATGTATTAAAGTTACATGAGTCATTTGAACTAACCAAGTGGCTAAAAAGTTAAGCCAACATAGCAGTGCCAAAAACTGCAGTTCTTTGAATGGCTAATTTAAGCTAGCCCCAAAAGTGAGGCAGTTTTCAGACTCCCATGTTATCATGTCCAGGTCTGCAGCAAAAGTTTATATATAAAACAGCTTTAGTATACAATATATTGCTAATTACCATCCGTCATAACATTTGTGAGAGAGATGAATGTACAATAGTCACTTTTTTAAAGCCTTTTAAAGATTTTGTTATCTTTCAAGGTTTTCTTGTAGTGCAATAATTTCACAAAATGATTGCTGTGCAGGTAATTGTAGTTAAGGACGTTTGATACAGTATGTGCCTGTGTGATGAATCTTCGTAACGCAGCTTCCTGACATGAGCTGATAACTTGGAGTGGTCACTTCAAGGATCCAAAAACCCAAGATGTGGAAGGCCACACATGCTCAGGGTTTTAAAAATGGGACATTGTGTTGAATGTGTAGACGTATATATTTTCTTTTAAATTTGAAGTTAAATATATTGAGAACACCATTTTGAAAATCCCATTAATAAGTAAAGAAACTCTTTACACACAAAAATAAATTGTAAAACCACTTTGGTCCAAGATGAAAAGGATCCAAATATCAGCCCTATTGTTTTCATATCCAAAATAATAATAAATGAATACCTGCCAGGGTACTCCCTGTTTTCAATCTTCACTAATGAGTGCATATGCATTTAACAAACTCCATATATAGAGTAGCAACTCTGTATGTGCACTTGCACATGCATGGGTTTATATACGACAAAATGAGTACACGCATGCAAAGCTCTCCAGCTGGTGTCCACATGGTAATTATTGTCCAATGATAATGGTTTTAATTATCGAAGCAAAATAAACGTCCAGGACAGTGAACAATGAAGGATGATAAGACAGTGTGGCTGATGATGTGAGTATAAGAGAATGTGGTGATTACACTGAACTTGGTGCTGAGGGTAATTATAGTGATCAGGGTGATTATGATGAAGACAATGGTGGCGATGATTATCACAAGATTATTGTCATGATGCAAGTCCTTAGAGAGGTTAAAGGGTGTTGTTAGAAGTATATTACCGATATAGGAAAAAATAGGGTGGGGGATGACTGTGGTTTGCACACATGACCCACATTTGACTTTTGTATGAAGCTGTTTTGAATGAGAAAATGTTGAGCCAGAAGAAAACCTCAAGTTTAAATATATAAATGTGTTGCAAAATAAAACAGAATTTAAAAGAGATTGATTCTCACACCAAAGCAAAGCATTTTTTTCTCCTGGTAAACACAGGCCTGTTTTCTGTTTATCTCATATTTGCTCTGTGAAGGTCATCAGGGTAATGAGGTTAGACTTGCATCAGAGTAACAAACAGGGTGCTATAAAACAAGCAACCTTTACTGACCTCAAGATTATCACTGGCAAAAGAACCAAACGATAGATTCAATTTAGGTCACTCAAGTATAAAAGAGTTGATTTAACTCACTGAAATGTCAACCTTTCTCCAAAAACTACTTTGGTGTTAAACCACCAAAGACTGGTTTTGTAGCTGGAGGCTTAGCTGCACAGTGCTGGATATATTTCCTGGGGTGGTATCATGATTTGTCAGTGTCAGATGAAGACTTCAAGTGTGATGAAAACAATGGAAATGGAAATAAATCTTTGTGGAAGTAACAGGCTTCTGTAGCTCCTAATTTTAGCTGGAAGCCACTGGATTATTGCTGCATTAACCAATAAAAAGAGGAAGATCTCAGTGTAACTCTTATTAATCCAAAAGCCTTGGTTTCATAGTAGCTGATGAAATTCACTCTATTATATGACAATAAAACCTGTAGATCCAGTCTTAATCATAGTTTTAATAATACATGCATGCTGACACTGACTATAAAGAAGCATTATGTAATAGCAATATGTAATATTTCCACATCCATTTGGTCTTGATTCTGACTTGATGAGATCCTGGTTTGGCTCCAGTTTTGATGTGGGTCATCTAGATTGTGGGCTTGAACAGAGGTAACATGTCAGCTTTTGATTAAGACTGTTATTAAAACTACTTCATAGGGAGATTCTCAGCCCTGTCCAACTGTGATTTCATAGCTAAGCAAAAAACCCCTACATACAACATTTGAGGCTTTAAAAGTCTGTAACATTTTCCGATTAAAATAATAAATGTCCAGTTTCCATCCACAAGATGACATAGCAGACAAGTGAGTCAACTCATAAAATACTGAGCTTGTATTTCTTGGGAAACATCACAACAGCGAGGTCCGAGCACAAAAGCTGTCACCAAAAAGGAAACAATCAGGTAATATCACTCTGACTACCACCGAATGTTAAGAGAGGCCAGCTGTTTCTTTGACCACATCCACGTGTTTATAAACCGTGACAAATTTGCCAATGGGCCGTACGAGGTTACACAGTATAAATAATGCTGCCTTTGCTTTTTTTATGCTGCAATGATGTGCTGTAACTGACACGTGTTTTCCTCTGAGATGTTCAACTCACATGAAAATGAATTAACTGTTGGAAGCACTGCCATAACAAATCAAACGTTTGCTTTAGCTTGCTAATGCACTTAGTCTTGTATACCTTTTGGTTTTGGCTCAGGAAAACATTTAGCAAATCACATCAGAATTCTAGTTTGTTTCAGTTCAAAACTGCCTTTTATAATCTAAAAGGCAAACATTACAATATTTCCAGTACTACATAGCAAAAAGATGCGCATGCACAGAATTCACACCATGGTTGTGCAGGTTATGAAAAAGACCAAATATGCTCACTAGTTT